ATAATGTTCGCGTTTTTTCCCTCCGGGATTATTCCCCCCTCCCCCTCTCCTTCATGTTGCGAAAGGACCAGGGAGGGGAAAGTTGTATTTCGAGAGTGAAAGGGAGACGAGAGCAAGACGCATGCGAGAGAGAGAGAGAAAGAAGATCGGAAAGCAAGGCGGATCGAGAGGAAGAGAGAAAGAAAAATAGAAAGAGTCACAGGCATATATATAACGTATATGTATATTTATACAGAGAAACGAGTTTTCGTCGCGTTGGTATTGGATCAAGTGACGAAACGCGCGAAACGGATCAAAGATCATGCTATGCAGATTAAGTGGCTTAAGAACTTCGATTGTCTTCCAATGTTAGAACGAGTAAGAGATTCGTTTGCGTGTTCGTGTGTATGCGTGTTCCGTTTGTGCGTACGTTTGTGTAACTTGGACACAGAGCGAAAGAGGAGGGAGTGGGATCGGATGGTGAGAGCAACGGGACGAGCAAAAGGAAAGATAATGAGAGAAAGTGATGCGTTTGTATGTGTGTTACGTATGTGTGTATGTGGAAATTACGTGTCGGGAGACGAACGTGTCCATGGGATGAACGAAAGTGCAGTTTAAAAAATAAGTTACGCGATATTGGATATTTTTGTAAAGGAGGATTCGTCAGGGCTTTCGATCGTCGCGAGGCGAACTTTTGTTAAAGACGATGAGAAAAAAAAAGAAAAGAGAGATAGAGAGAGAGAGAGAGAGATTTGCCTTCAGAATTCGTTCGTTTATTTTTTACTTCGAGACTTTTATTCTCGATTTACTTTTCATTTTCTGATTTATCGGACTGAAGAGAATCTTATCGGATTTATCGTAGTTTGATATTGAATATTTCGATTTTTTTTTTTTTTTTTATTATTCGCTTTTATCCGTTCTCTTCTACGTTTTCGTTTAATCGATTCGGTCGAAAGTGTGAGGTAGAGAAAATGGAGAAAAGTGGTATTTCTTCTATTCATTTTTACCGAAAGATAGGACAGTCGAATTAATCGGGGATAAGAAATTCTAACGACAACGTCCAGAGAACCAACTTTTCCCCATGAGTTATCTTGTCCAACAGAAAGCAAATCTCTGTAAGAAAATTTGATTATTTATCGTAGTTTTAACGACTTCAATAGCAATCGAAATAATTTTATGTTAGAGAATATCGATGTTAGCTTCCTTAATGGTGCCTTAAATGCGTGCCTCGTCGATAAATAAATGAACGATGAACGAGTATTTGATTTAAAAAAAAAAAAAAAAAAAAAAAAAAAAAAAAAAAAAAAAAAAAAAAAAAAAAAGAAAAAAGAAAAAAAAATAATAATTGGAGTGTGATAGAAAGAGAGAGTGAGTGGGAGAGAATGAAAGAGATATCATCAATTTCGTGGTATATATATATATATATACATATATATTTACATTGTTCTTTCCCGTAAAAAAAATGTGATATGTAACTATTGCAATAGAAATATTAACTATTATTAAAGAAAAGAAATCTATTATAGAGAGAGTGCGAGTCAGGGAGAGACAGATATATCGAGCGAAAGTGAGAGTATGGTTAGAGGAATGAGGCGGCGTAATTTCGAGAGTGCTTCCATCTAGCGGGGAAAAAAATTATTTTTCGTATCTCGAAGACATTCGAAGGAAATGAAACTGTTGCACCAATCAATTCTTAATTTTTGGTGTATATTGAATATATATAGATATATATTTATTAGTTTTATTATTTTTCTCTTCTTTTTTTTTTTTAAAAATATGAATTCGATGGGATCTTTGAGATTTTAATATATCGAATCGATCTTCCTGGCGAAAAAAAATATTTATTTCCGCCGCGCATCGCTTCAAACCGAGAATGTTGAGAGAGAGAGAGAAAGAGAGAGAGAGAGAGAGAGAGAGAGAGAGAGAGAGAGAGAGAGA